GGGGGGGGGGGGGGGGGGGGGGGGGGGGGGGGGGGGCGAGCTCGCCCCCGTGAGCGTGGGTGTCGATGGCGAGGGCCAGGGCCGAAAGAACGGGCCCGGCAGTTGCGCTGTTTGTTCGGAGCCCGGCTCGCCGAAGGGAATTGCTAGACCGAGGCTCCGGGCGAGAAGGGGAAGGCGGGCGACCCCCGGCGTGGCGGGCCCCGACCGTGTTTGCCGAGCGCCGATGCGCTGCCGGATGCGGCAGTCCGCGCCGGAGAACCACTGGCACTTGTTCAATTGTGGTCCGCACGGACACCTCCACGACGGTCGCGCCCTGCCGCGCCCTTCTGACAATAGCCGAGTAAGGCGGCGGCGGCGGCGGCGGTGGTGGCTGGCAGCGGCGAGGGCCATGCCCGGCCCCGGGGTCTTCGGCGTTTTTCGCACCGGCAGGCGCGGTATCGCTGGGACGATATCCCCGAGCCAGTCAGTTGCTTGCGGCTCGGCTAATGTCCTTTAATTGCCAGCCCGCGCGGTTGACCGCGACGCATGGTGCCCCATGCCGGGGTAGCCCAGGCTCGGAGTTTCCCTCCCCACCCGGGCGTGAGTGAGCCGTGTGTCTTCGTGTGGGCTGGTGTGGGCTTGAAAATGTGTGCCGGATTTCCGCCGTCGGGGGAGAGCTTCCTGGTGTGCTGGGACATGGCCATGTGCCCTGGGGTCCGGGGGCTTCGGCCCCCCGAGGTCACCGGTGGCGATCGTGAGTCTGCTCGTGGCTCCATATTCCACGCTGTCCCTCTCCCCCCCGCCCCCTGGCTGCAGGGCGCGGCGTTCCCCCGCGAGGAAGGGAGCACGGACAACGTCACTCTGTTGTTTGCAAGTATGCGAGGAGCTGAGGGGCCGTGAAGGGGCTGCGGGGCGTTCCCCATGCGGAAGCCTCCCCCTCTCAGAGCAGGCTCTCGGCCTTTCCTTGAAATGGGCGGGGCTCAAGCCGAGGCCCGACGCCAGGGGGGGGGCGGGGGCAGGGGCGTCGTGGGCCCGCTGCGGTCAAGGGAGTCTGACACACACACACACACACACACCTACATCCTAGCCCACGGACACGCCCATTCCCGGTGCTCTTTGCCGTGCGCCGCATCTACACGTTTGGAGCCTTCCCGACAGGCGCCGAGATGGGTCCGGACAAGCTCGCCATGAGAGGCGCGCGGGGAACCAGGGGCGCGGGGACAGCGTGAAGGGCGGTCCCCCCCGGAGAGGACGGGCGCCGGGCTCATTTTCCCGGAACCACATTCTCATGCCTAGACTATTTCGCTGGCGCCGGAGGTGATCGTGCCGGCCGCAAGCGGCGTGGCCCGGTCGAGGGGGCAAGGGCAGCTGTTTTCGCAGACGCTGCGGCCGAGCCGCGCCACCCTTCACCAGAAATGAGACACGGCTCCAGGTACAGAGCCTCCCAGGGAAAATAGCTTGGGTGATCTTGGTTGTGGGATGTCTCCGCACGACATGTGGTAGCCAATCGGGAATCTCCCCGCCCCCCCTCGTCCCTGTGTGTGCCCCACGTTCAGCAGCAGCTCCTTCGGTGCAGGTGGCGGTGGGGCCCGGCCTCGTGAGCCCGCCCGCGTCCCATCTTCCCCCCCCCCCATCAGAGGGCCCGGGCTTTCCTGTGGCTGCTGGTTTCCTCGAAGGTGCCGAGAGAAGGGTGATCACCTTCGGCTAGGAGGTGCCCCCGGGGTATCTGTGGTGTCTCTTCCCTTCCGAAGGTCGTCCGCCCGGGCGGTGTGTATTGTTTTCTGGTCCTCCCTGCCGGCCCGCGCCCCGCGCCATTCCCCAGACGTCCACCCTTGCCACCTCCTCAGGGCCAGCCCCAACGAGGGTTATCCAAGTGGCCCCGGGGCAAGGAGGGATGCTGTCTTCCCCGCGCGGTCTCTCCCCCCCCCCCCCCCCTTTCCCCGCCTGAGGCTTGGAGGTGTGCAG